CATGCCGAGAGAGCAGACGACGGTGTGTGGTATGAGCTGGACGGCAAAGCAGTGGCCATGGCAAGCTTATGATACTGATGGCCAAAAAACTTATGAACAACCATACTTTAAACTACATCATAAAACACAAACACTTCCAGATTATACCATTATTTATTAATGTCTTATCTCAAAAACATGCAAATCTATATCAAAATACTGTCTGTCTGTGTTCACTTGTAAAACTAATAAATACAGATACTTGTACCTTGTTCACGTCTGGATGAAATCATGTACAGTGAAGGAAAATAAACGGATTAACGGGAAAAAAATTCGAAATCTTATGTAAATAACATTTTCACTCTCACCGGGAAACATATTCAAACTTCTTCAACTTCTTAAAATATTTCAACAAATAAATGAATTATTCCTATTTTACATCATATAAATGTTCATATCAATTGGTTGTGAAGATATGTTTGTGCAGACTTACTGGACGAACACGGCCCTGGTTTCACACTGTACGTCATAGGCTCAGATATTGGGTGTCTTTTATATTTTTAAATTTTAAGATTAATCAAGCTTACAAAATCATAGCCTAGTGCTCGTTTTTCAGGTGTAGTCGATCCATTTTCAACTTTTTTTCGATAATCGGAACACCACTGGTAAATTTGTTGACATTTCTCACTAGGCTATTTATCTATTCTTATTTATACAGAATGTACGAATACCTGTACAGATTAGCTTCACACAAAACATAAACAAAGGGAGATAACACATTAAAATTATCACAGGCACTCAATGAGAGAAACAAAAGCAAGCTGAAAGTACGACCACATTTTCACTGTACTTTTTGTCTAAGGTGAACTTGAATATTTCCTTTAAACACCCTAAAATGAGATTCTGTTGCATATTATTAAACAGAGCAAGATTAAAACTGACAATTATTCAAAGGTGGCTGAGCTAAATGATATTAATTAGATCCGATTGGTTGAATAAATTTTTTAATGTTAATCACATCAGCAAGTTAGTGGGTTTTTTTCACACAAGTATTACTTATGTGTAGTAATGTTAAGAACACTCTAATACAGCACAAGGTAAACGCTGAAGGTTGTGATATTAATTCAAGTCAAAATTTCCCAAAATATTTCGAGTAATTTTGGTAAAGTATTAATTAATCATATACATAGTTATACAATATGTATTCTTAATATTAAAGCAAACATTTTCTCAGTTACCATTAATGATTATGAAATTTGAAATCCGATTCCAAAAAATAAACATTTGCAAGGGGACACCACTCAGAGGTGGAAACAATATTTTCTTTTTTCCCCAAAAAGAGCAGGGCTGACCTCTGAATAGAGAGACAGGAAATTATTTTTGCGAAAATCTGTACCAACATTAGAAAAGAAAACATACAGAATCATAACGAAAACAAACACATGAAGTCATTTAAAAAATAGTTGAGCTGTGGAGCAAAATGCCCTGCACTCCTTAACCCCCCCCCCCTTCTAAATCAGTCATTACCCGAAATAATGCCCCTCAATAAACTCATACTGCTGACTTTGCAAGTAAATGAGTGAAGGCCATGCATTAATACTCAAGAAAATGCCTCTCAGTCATAATTTAACATGATTCAGATCAACATTTAGATTTAAATTTGAAACTTCCTTCAAATTGCTTTGTTTTTCTGTGGAACTATTTGCGCACATTTTTTGAACAAGTCAACATGATTGATTCTGATGTTTGAGACAGTATTTTGGTAAACATTATATAATTGATGATTATTTTCATAATATACACAACACAGAAAGCTATACACCCTAACTATATTTCATGGAAATCAAATATCAATTTTAATTTTATTTGATCACAAAAATAAAACAGGAAACAGGAAAATTCTTTTTCAAGCTCAAGTTTCATGAACATTCCTTGAAGGAATTGCCAAACATCAAGAAATTTCCCTAACTACGATTTCCATAAAGCAATTCTTAAGCTTCGAAAATTCATAATTCAAACAGTATTTTCCTTTGCAAGCACTTAGTTAACCCTTTCACCACTGTAGACCATAATGAACTCATCCAGATCAATGCATGGTAGAGTCTACTTAAGTTACATAAGGTTGAAAGGGTTAAGGAATATTTGTGAAACTGATGCTGTCATGTTGAATCAATTAATTGCAAGAATGGTTTTCACTGTAAATACCAAAAAAGCATAACACTAGAAGAAAAAGGCAGTTTTTCAAGGACATCATCAAAACTGATACACAAGTTGATATACATCTTGTTTGTGACTCTGTGGTTTGGATCAATTGGTCTCACCCTTAACCAAATATCTTGGGCTTGAGCAAGCTATTAGTATACCACAGCAGATAATCGAGATCCATACATTTCTGGAGGGATGTTCAAGCACCTTACAATAGCCTTGCATTAGCTAATTCATCCCTGAAGACACATTTGAACTCTTCCATTTCGAAGGTTTGAAAAGTTCATTATGAAATTTCAGGGTGGAATGAGTTAAGGGGGGAGTAGGAAACAAAAGAGTTCAGTACCATCTGATGGTTGCAAAAACTATTGTCAAGACTAAATTAATTAATTAAGTTCTATTACATAGTTTTTACCTTAACTGTAATTTTCAATAATACATTGACTTTAAAAATCCTTATTATTGCTAAAGACAGCAACATCTGGTACTTTGTTATATACCCAAACCTGTTCTTCCAAAATCTCAAACGTTTTTTATAAAATAATTCTTGTTACAAGGTTATAGAGCCTCTGTTATCACATCAAACAATGAAAGCTGAGTTGCATGGGTGGGAAGAAGTGCCGAGAGCCAACGACACATGTGACTAGAAAACCCCACACACACATAAATGTTAACACACAAGCAATGTCAGAAATACACAGCTTCGGTCTGTAACTTTACCGATTTTACTATAAAAATACAAAACAAAAGTTATCAAAACCTGCCTATCTAGGAGTCATCGAAAAGAACACATTCGACACTATTTATTGACAACGAATTGGATCATAATCCTACAGCAAATATTCAATCTTTGTAATTTCAAGAAGATTTAATAGAAAATACACCACAAATATGAAAATGACATTCATATAATGCTAGATCATACAACAAACACATCCAGACCAGTTTATTACAGAAGAATGGTTAGAATATTACAAGTTTAACTACAAATGGCACTTATAGAGTTACTCTAGCAGGATAGTAGATCCAACTTTTTGTTAAGTCAGTATGTTGGTGTAAACGGTACAGAGCATGTACCAGTAAATATGAATAGAAGATGAATCTATCTATATAGTTACTTCCACAGCACCAACAACTTCTCACTACAATTCACAACATCAATATAATAAGTGCACAACAGCCATAAATATATGAATAGATAGAGAGAACTGGCCATGAACCCCAGACATCTGGTCATGAACCTTGTTCATGCAGTCATGAACCTTGATCATCTGTTCATGATCCTTAATCATTTGGCCTTAAATATATGAATAGATAGAGAGAACTGGCCATGAACCCTAGCCATCTGGTCATGAACCTTGTTCATGCGGTCATAAACCTTGATCATCTGTTCATGATCCTTAATCATTTGGCCATAAACATTTTTATTCTGGTAATGAATCATGATCGTTTGATCAACCTATCACAAACCCTCTTCATATGGTCATGAACCGCAACCATTTGGTCATGAATCTTGTTCATGTGGTCATGAACCTTGATCATCTGTTCATGATCCGTGATCATTTGGCCATAAACTCAGGTCATCTGGTAATGAACAATGTTCAACTGGCAATCAATCTTGAACATTTGGTTCATCTGTCATGAACCCTATTCATCTGGCCATGAACTGTGGTCATTTGGCAATGAATCTTGATTATCTTGCAACCAATTAAGGCAGATCAACTTGGAAGACAATTATTATAATCCTAATGCAATTTATATCTGTTTTTAGCTGTTCTTCTTCTTATCATTTTTCTGTCATTGCAGTAGTTTTTAACAAAGAATATTACAGGTAATTAATAAAAAGTCAAGAACACATTAGGTTAACTTTCTTGGTTAACTTGACAAACATATTAATCAACTAAAATGGATATTGTGCAATACACATGTAACATAATATACTGTTAACAAAAACAGAGTTCCAACAATAACAGACATATAGGCTAAAAATAATACAACAAAACTACTGCGGACATGGTCCCTAAAATAATAACCATATACAGAGGATAGATCATGTGGCTTTCAATAATTACAGTTGTTAAGCTATTGCAATAAACATAAAAATAAATCACCATTATAACATTCTGCACGCTTACTTAGTATACTACCTGTACACTCCACCAAAGAATTTCCCCAAGAAACTCAAAAGTCTAGAAAGCAAAACAATATTATATACGTATGTACTTTGGTATCTTTGGAAATACTGTATACCCTATGCTTAACTATATAAAACCAAAACTGCAAAAGTCAATGGGTCTAAAAAAAGACATTAAATTTGAAATGGTGGGACATAAAAGAAATATGCCAATCAGTGATTACTTTCCATTTAATACAGATAATTCCACAATACAGAATTATTCCATACTCTTAATCAACACGTAAATTGAACGTGTCACGTGGCAATTTTATAAAACAATTTCATCCACTCAATTGAACCCATTTACTCTACCTTCACAGGGAACAAAAAAAATCTTTTAAATAATTTCAAGTTTTTTTTTTGCATTTTGACTTTATTAGTAGCATTTCATTTCCAATATAACCTGACAGGATTTTTTTTAACACTTAAAAGGGCTATTCCATAACTGATTGCATGGGAGAGGTAGGAGGCACCTGTAATTAATACAATATTGACGGCAAGATTAAATCACGATAATAATAACACCCATTTACTCTACCTTCACAGGGAACAAAAAAATATTTTAATTCAAATTTTTATACAAGTCAGTTTTAATTTTTAAACATTCCTTATACAAGTCAGCTTTGCCTCCCACCCCACCCCACCCCACCCCTCCCATACCATTAATTTTGGAACAGCCCTAACTGAAATTAGGTTTGGATTCAGATTGATATTATCAAACCCATCAAGGTTTTCATTTTTTTTCTTTTTTCCTATAAAAACAATGTTTACTCCTCTTGATCCCCTCTTGACCCAAAAGCACTTTTCTAGCTTTCACAGTTTCAAACAAAATGTAAACTTAAATAAAGAAAAAAGAAAAAAGAAAAGCAAATCTCCTTTACATATATAAAGACGCAGTGTAAACAGGGGTCACTGATCCTCGAAGATTACTCAAAGACGACCGTCCTACTGTTAAGCTGGCAATGTACTGAGTGGGTTAGATTGGACGAAAGGGGGCGGTGACGACGACCACCCAGCAGTCTAACTCGACTTGAACTTCTTGGCTTTTCCTCTCACAAGTGATGTGACAACACCAAACACGCGCGAGAAGTACTTCTGCAGGACGCCGTGGCGTCGGATACCTGGCACCAACATCAGAATGGTGACTGAAATACAAATTTGTGGTCAGGATTATTTTACATTAAAGACATGAAAACACATTTTTATGGAAACAAGTTTTTCCTTACCTGTTTATGCAGTATTTGTATTGATCAAAACAACAATCTTACATTATGAAAGAGAAGGGAAAATAAACCCTTCAGTATAAATTCCTGTTCCATTTTCATCTTAGAATTTGTACCGTAAATATTCATATATTGTGCGTACGCGTACTCTTGTTTAATGCTCAGAAACTATTTATGTAAAACAATTTTAAAAAAATAATGAAATTTGTTTTTCTGGAAAAAATGTCAAGTAATTCTTTTCTCTACTTAATATATATAATTACATGTACATGTACACATAGTTTTGTCAAGAGACACAATCTAAATACTCCATTTTCCTCAGCTGAGGATTATTTTAAATAAATATATAGGAGAACCAAACCAGGCACGTTTTGTGACCTCAGAAAGGGATTTTTGCGTAGTCCCACTACAGTACATATTTTTATCGATTATTTTAGATCCCACGACCCATATATTATCAATAATAAGCACCTCCCTGTAACCCTACCCCCACCCACCCAAACTTATTCAAATTTGAAATTGTACCAAAAATCTAGAGCATATTAATTATGTAAATATATACCCATAACCAATGGACTTATTTTTTTTGCATTCCTTATGATTTCAAAATATATAATAATTTGAAATGTTTAGGCTCTTCACTCATTATCTAGTTCTGACATTCAGAAAAACTGAAATTGTCTCCCTTGGACTACTTAATACACATACAGAATAAGAAAGTTGGCACAATCATTTAAACTTGCTTGGCCGTTTTTGTTATTCCCAATCGGTTTGACTGGTTGAACCAGATATGCTCGTTAATGAAATAAGGTTAAACCCAATTAATCTGCTTTCAGACGGCCCTTGACAAAACCTTGCAAGGCCTGCATACACATTTGCTGGTCCGCTAGGTTTTATACCTGAAATGTTACATTTAAAAACAGACAAACTGGTTGTTTCACATAAACAAACAGGCCCCTTGTTCTGCACATTGTCATGTACAGTATTTTGATTGGTTAAAAACTTAAGTTGTCAATAGAGCTTTTCAATTAGATTATTAATTTCATCGAACTAAACCTAAGAGAAAACTGAAAAAAATATTTATTGAAATCAATTTTAGAGGAATATTTTTCACAAAATAATTACATTTCACTGATTGATCGAAAACGTCTGTTTCCTTTGTCAAAGTAAGAGTCCAAATGACCGGTGTTTCGACTCTAAACCGCGGACAACAACGTTAACGCACTAAGCCACAGTGTGCCGTATCTGTAAAGTCAGCTGCCAAAAATCATTGAAACATTTTGCCCAATTGTACTCTAATACTGCAGGCACTCAGGGGGACGGGTAACATGTTTACCCATTATACAAAGGATCTTTTTAAATATTCAATTCTTTTGCAAATAAGCTTTGTATATATTGGTAAATACTGAAAATAATTTAGTATTTATAGCTCCAGCTTGTCAAAGAAATATGATGACTATATATTTCTATGAAATTCAATCATCATTACTATTGCCATCCAATTGAACCTTCAATAAATTAAATATGTACCTTAACTCATTAACCCCTGAAATTTCATAATGAACTATTCCAACCTTTGAATTGGAAGAGTTCAAATGTGTCTTCAGGGGTGAATGAGTTAACCAACAAGTGTTGAGATTGGTACTTACGTAGGAAATAGGTAAGTAAGAGATTGTCCATTCTACTGCCCATCCAAGCCATAGACACCAGTGCTCCCATCACAATGAGGAAATACTGGAACAAAATAAACACATTCAAAACTTCAATTTAGAAAAGAAAAGAAAAAAGAAAAACACTGTTAAAAGAATTTAATCCTTCAAAATTATGATTATGGCACAGTGTTAGATAGGAATTTTATTTTTGGAAAAATAAGAAAAAATATGTTTTTTTGTGCCAGGGTTTTGTCGTTGACCAAGTAGCTCAGTTGATAAGAACGACAGTATAATGAACGAAGGTCCAGGGTACGAGTCCTGGGTCTATTGTATTTTTACACTAAGACCATCCTTTGTTGATTACTTTTTGTTAATTTAAACCTTTTTTTTTTAATTCCACAAGGTATAAAGGAATGGTTTTCTTTTCAGAAATGATTTCTCAAAGCTACTATCGTACCAGGAAGAAATGTTTTCAACGCTTGTTTTCAGTCTTTGGCAGTGGCACGAGGATGCTTATAATTCCTATTACCAAACATACTGCCCGAGAAAAAAATGTGAATACTTACTGTTTTGGGCCTTTCTGTCTTCAGGGAAACCATAGAATCCATCAGATTACTTGAATGATACTTAAAATGCATGATTCGCTTACAGATCTCCTCGTACTGATGTTCCTGGCGACCGGTCCTGGTGTAATATAACATCATTGTCAGCAGAAAGTTATATAACAAATATGATACATTTTAGTCAAGATGCATCCTCAATTGTCCAGTGGTTAGTTACGCTCACTTACACTCTCTGCACCCACAGAATATGTCATGACAAAACTGAATGCTTAGTGTGCGCCACCTTGTGGATGAGACAAAAAGACTAGTTTGATCCTTTGATGTACATCAAAAGTATCTCGCAGTATCTTAATGATAAAAATTGACTGGCTTTCAAGTCGGGTGTCGCTCCTCTGTAACCATCCAGGGACAGGTATCAGCCTAGCAATTGGTCAAGTTTTTTTTAACTGAGACCAATCGAAAAGCTTCAATTTTGCTGTGACATATTCCAGGGATGCAGAGAGCAAAGGTGAGCATAACCCTTTTGAGTATCGCAGGTGGTCAAGATAGATTTGTGATCTGAGTTTTGACTCCTAGGGTAACCTGACTGCAGACTCTTCTCAATGATATTTATTTGTTATTTTTTCATATTCTTTTCCAAGTTATTGAAACTATGTGTTGAAATTTCAAACAGAGAAGAAAATTGAAGGAAAAACATTCTGCACCATTTCAAAGGTATATCAATGAGCTATTGTAAATATTCCTTAGTGAGTGAGCTCAAACCTAATGGAGTCAAAATGCCTCTCAATGACTACAGTACTTACCATTTCGATGCGAAAAAGTTTGGACCAATCATAGGCACAAGGAAGTCGATGAGACTCACAGCCAAACCCAGCAGGGCAAAAGTGGTAAGGACTGAGGGCTCAAAGTACCATATCAACCTGTGAAAAAGATATTGTGGTTCATTTAAGGCCAAAAAAAACCAAGAGGCCCAATGGGCCTGCATCGCTCACCTGTTATTTATCTAACACTTGTAATCTTAAGATTTCATAAGAACCTATTAAAAGATTTAAACATATGATGCCTCTGACCTTGATTGTTGAACAAGGACATTAGGTTGAAAGTGGATCAAGGTCATTCATTTGAACTAACATGGTAGTCCTTCATCCCAGCATGCTACAGGCCCAAT